GACCCTCTCCATAATTCTCCCCGATAGCTGAGAAACTCGTTCTTACCAAATGAACTAGGCACGCGGGCATGCCGAATCCTACCCCGGACACGAGAATCATGCTGGCCATTGTGTTCTACGCTGCGTGAGTGATGATCCTCCTCTCCTATAGATTCATATGTTCGAACCAGTCATACTAATCAACACATAAATTAGTTGGTATAAAAACGGGGTGGTTACTCAGATGCCTGAGTCTCTGAAGCCTACAGTGGAAGAATTGGAGGAATATGGTCAGCATAAGATCGCTGTTGAGTGGGTGCCTGACGAAGGGTACAACTATCTTGACATCAAGTTCAGCAACAATTTTAGCTCTACTCTCACACCATGGGTTTGGGAAAGAATCCAGCACATTAAGACAGTCAAGGGCTATTAGGGAATAGTATAAGTAAGGACTCTTCCGCACAATATTTCTCTCTACTCAAAAATATACCATCTTGATTTCATCTTCCATCGTTTTTCTTTTCTTATTTAAAATATCGGACCAAACATTCTTCTGTGATAAATTCTATTTTCATTGCCTTTTAATGGAAAGTTCGAACTTGGTGCAAGTTGGTCCAAAATACTTGTTACTGGCATCCGGTTTTGCCTTGAAGAAAGTTTAAGTCACCGGAGCTTTCCCAAATAATGTAGGAACTAGTAACATGGACAGCACATTTATAGAGAAGGTAACTTGCTATGAGTAATTACTCGTCTCAATTTCTCGACTCATACTAATTTTTAAGTTTAGGGTCCCATCACTTCAATAAGTGCTTGTTCACAGGAGTCAACGCATCCTGTCCAGACAGTACAGCAAGGACGTTCTGCATTGACAAAGCCTCAAAACCGCTCGTTGTATCAAAGGCACCACCGGCGTTGTGGCATGTGAGTGTGGCATTTCGATTCTTGATCAGGCGAGGGTTTACAATCGGTTCATTCTCGTGGACATCAAGCCCGACGGAGTAAATATGCCCGCTTTCCAATGCATCCGCAAGTGCCTCCTCATCAATGAGGCTACCGCGTGCAATATTCACAAGCCGCGAGCCCTTCTTCATCTTGGCGATGCGGGCCGCATCCAGGAGTTTCTTTCCGCCGGCTCCTGGCGTAGCGATGACAACACAGTCGACTGTTGCCAGGAGGTCATCCAGTTCTGGAATTCTCTGGGCGCCTCCTATAGCCTCCTCCTGTTCCTTGCTCTTGGGGAACAGGTCATTGTAGACAATCTTCATTCCAAAGCACCGATATGCCTTGGTCGCGATGCGATATCCGATATTACCCAAGCCAATCACACCAAGGACCTTTCCAGCGGGATTAAAGGCGTTGATGGGTTGGTGACGGTGTGCATCGAGGAATTCGTCAACGTTGCCGGTGCGAGCCGCCATGTTACTCCACTGGAGGTTGCGGAAGACAGAGATGATGTGGTAGATGGCCATGTCAGCAACGGCCTCGGAGCTAGCCGCCGCACCGTTGCAATACAAGATCCCGGCTTCAGCCAGGAGATCGACATCAGCCCAGTCGTACCCGGCGCCGGCAGAGGTGAAGACCTTGAGTGACTTTGGGAGGAGAGGGATCATCTCTGCATCCCAACGGCCCATCTCGAGGCCGCTGTTCCAAAATGGGCGGAAGACGGCCTGGAAATCTCCCCATTTCCGATCTCGCAGGGCTTGGAGCCAGGCATCACGCTGCCTCTCCTCCAGGGATGGCTGGATAATGGTAAAAGACTCTTGTAGTTTCTTGTAGATGTCTGGGTTGAACTCTATGTCGTCTCCGAGATGGAGAATAACAGGCTTGGAAGCATCGGCAGTCATGATGTGATGTTAGATGTCAGGATGGATGTGAATAGCGTAGGATGGTACCACTGGCTCGGTAAAAGGATCAATAGAGCTACCCAAGAGCGATGTAATCCCAGTAAATATGAGAGCAACCACGAGTGTACAGGTCTCTCGGATCACCGTATTGGGAATTCGAAGCCCAAGAGCGCATATCGGCCCTGCTGCCTGTCTGTGCCCCCGCGCTGTCATGGCCTTACCCCCACAAGCATCCCTGAGACTGGTCAGGTGCGCCCAGACTCGTAACACAGACGCAATGCGGCGTTCATTGTGCAGGACTATGCCATCGCTAACGCTATGCCGTGACTGGCAAGCAATAGGCGAGGGCACCCCCGTCACTGAATCATGGGGTGAGAGATGAGGGATGAGGAATGGGGTATCTGGGGGTGGAGAAATGGGGAAATGGAGCCGAGTCACACGCTTCAGGCGTTACCCCTAATAATGCCCAATGTCTATTCCCAGTAATGCAAGCCCAGTGCACTTTGCGATTGGATAACACCCGGATTAGCCGTCGGGTGCAAGCACGCGCATCGCTTGGGCTTTACCGCTTGTAGAGGTTTTGTGCCTCCATCTCCGTATCCGAGGACGTGTCGCTGGGTTGGGTAGCTGACTCGTTTTTAATCTCTTGGCTAGTGTTCATATGATTCAAGAATCGGAAAGGCGTTTTCCGAGCGAAATAAGCTTGTGTTCGATTAGTATTCGCCCATATCACAGCTTGCCTACCATTCCTTCACCTCAGCTGCTTCATGAAAACCGCTCCTCAATCTGTGAAACATTGTCCTCTTCTCTCATTTGAATTGAATACTCAAGTTATCTCGGCGATAAAATAAGCAAAAATCTTTCAGAAACATGGCTCCTACTCAGGGCAAACCTTTTCCCCACGGGATTCATGTCCCCAGCTTGACGTGGTTTAAAGCTACTGCTGAGCAGGAAGTCGATTGGGATGTACAAAGAAAACACTTGGAATTTCTTGTCAAGTCCGGTCTACATGGAAGTAGGTGTCTGCGTCCGATTTGAGCTCAGGTGATCTATGCTAAATGACCAAATCACCAGTTGTTCTTGCCGGCACCAACGGGGAAGCCGTCACTCTTACGCGTGAGGAGAAGGCCCAACTAGTCCAGCTCACTCGAAAGATTGCCGTTGAGTCCGGCCGTGGAGATCTTCCAGTCACCCTTGGATGTGGAGGGCAGTGCACACGCGATGTCATCGCAGAGACCCGGCTCGCCGCTGAAGCTGGTGCCGATTTTGCCTTGGTACTCACTCCAAGCTACTTCCACTTTGCCATGAATCAAGATGCCATTGTTGCCTTTTTCCAAGAGGTACATTTCTACTTTCTCCTCACTAATTTCAATCATTCATCAACTAATCGGTCCGCAGCTCGCTGATGCTAGCCCCGTGCCCATCGTTATATATAACTTCCCAGGTGTCGCAGCAGGTTTGGATATAAACTCTGAGTCACTGGAAGCCCTTGGCCACCATCCCAACATTGTCGGGGTCAAATTGACTTGCGGAGGAATCGCCAAAGTGGCGAGAATACGCGCAACATTTGAGCCAGCACAATTCTCGGCCTTGGCTGGGCAGAGCGACTGGCTGACCCCAGCGCTCTCCGTCGGAGGCACTGGTGTGATCACTGGCATTGCAAATCTTTTTCCCAAGGTAGGTGCAGCTGACACAAACATAGTATATACATATTCTAACCTCTTACAGTGCTGTATCGAGATCTTCGACCTCTTCGTAGCTGGGAAGACAAAGGAGGCGGAAGCTGCGCAACTGAAACTTGCACGCATGGAATGGGGATTCGCCAAAGGAGGGATCAACGGAACGAAATGGATCGTAGCTAAGCTTCTCGACTACCCACAGGAAAGCCACCACTGCAGACGGCCTTATCCGCAGTATGCTGACCCCAAGCAACAAGAGTGGATGACCGCTACCTGCAGCATTTTGGTAGACGACGAGAAGAGGCTGAATTCTGCGAGTACATAGAGACTAATCTAGCATAGACAGATCATAGACCCATGGCGTCAATATCATGAATTATCACCACATGTACCTCCCTATGACCCAGCTCACAACTCTTGAGGGATGAAGACGTCACTGCGACTATAGTCATACATAGTTGTAAATAGTGCCAGTATTCACCTCTCTTGCCTTAATCAGTGCTGGCACCATAACCATGTTGCATCCAAGACACCGGGATTTACTCCAATTTACCGGGGTCGTGTCTTCTACAAGGCTCAAGCTCAGGTCCAATCAGTCAGATCATCTTGGCGACCCCTCACCGCATCAAAGACACCTGGACTTGTCGATGAGGAGGAAAACGTGTGGTTTCCCTTGGTCAATACTCACTCAATAGCGTTGCCCCAATATCATGGTCACCCCACAATCCAGGTCTAGGGCTCGTCGCTTCCTCTCGCTGTCCTATCGCCTTGCCTTTTCTCCGACACTCTCATGATCCTTGCGAGTTCAACTCGTTCAGGCTAGCGCATCCGATGAGAAGCCAAGCCCTTCCTTCGTCCTTGGTCTGCGGTGTTTCCCCGAGTCATGTCTGACGATGCGGAGTCTTGTCTTGGCTGCGGGGAAATAAGCCGGGCAGTCAGTTGAGTTCTACACGTAGAGTCAGGATGTGTCCTGATATGCCTGCGTGTTTACTCATGCTCTCAACCATCCATGCTGCTTTATGCAGCTCTGGCAGGCCAGTATGACGTGCATGGGGGCAGTTCATAACTCACATAACTTGGTTTCTCCTGGGACCGGATTTAAGACCACGTATGACGCCCCAGATTACCAGGAGCCCCCCGGATTTCTATCCCCATTCATGACATCGCCTCGAGGAAAAACAGATCCACATGGGCGACTTCTAGTCCACCGCCCCGCTCCCCCAGACTAGGCTGGGCCTCAGGTCAGTCTGGGGTTCGATAAGCTCGGATATTGGGGGGGGAGCCACGCTCCCTCCCATGGCAGTCTTGTCCTCTTGGCCGGTTCAAATGCTCTAACTCGATCTTGTGTTGGTATCCGACCAGCTGGGCTACTATATAACTTCTTCCATAAAAGGTCCCTGATCAACACACAGATCCTCCCCAACTCTCCTTGCAACCACAACCCATCTCGCCTACTTACCAATTCATCCATCTCGTTGCATTGGCAAACCCCTCCAAAATGGGAAGCTCTGACAAAGATGAGGCCCTTGGCGTCGCCGTTCATGTCGGCGATGAGGAGAACATCAAGACTGAGCATGACGAGCATGCGCTGCCCAAGCCCGACAGCATCGCAACGTTGAACGAGGAAGAGCTCAATTTACTCAAGAAACGAATGGTTCGCAAGATGGACCTTGTCATCATGTTCGTGTCCCCAATCCACAACCATTTGATCGCCTCAAACTAACTTTGGTATCTGAAGGCCTATCATGGGTATTTTGTACATTCTCAACTACGTTGACAGATCGGCCCTCGCAGCTACAAAGGTTTACGGAATCATGGAGGATCTTGGCATGGACACTGCTCAGTTCGCCACTGCCATTTCAATTCTCTTCGGTTCGTGCAGTGAAGCGCTGGAGATGTCTCGAGAGGCGCATACCAACTAACACATGCCTATAGTCGGTTATATTCCTTTCCAGATCCCCTCTAACCTGATCATGACAAAGATTTCACGTCCTGGATTCTGTTAGTATTCAAGCATCAACTCTTGACCCACAAGCGAGTATTAACCCATTCTCTTCTCCGTGTTCCAGATATTTGCTCTGCTGCTGTCATCTGGGGAGCAGTGAGTTCCTGTACGGCGGCTGTCAAAACCTACCAGCAATTGCTCGTTGTTCGCGTGTTCTTGGGTGTGACGGAGGCCGTTTTCTTCCCGGGAGTTATTTATTTCCTCAGCGCATGGTACACCAAACACGAGCTAGGCAAGCGACTGGCCGCCCTCTTCATGTTCCAGATGGTCGGAAGTGCCTTCGGAGGCTTTGTCGCTGCCGGCTGTCTCACTCTGGACGGACGATATGGCATTGCCGGATGGCGTTGGCTGTTCATCGTGTTAGTTTTTCCCTTTCCTTCTACCTAGAGGGCGATACTAATACTCTGCCTTGTAGTGAAGGTGTCGTCACGATTGGCTGCGGTATTATCTTTGCTTGTTTCATGCCGGAATACCCTCACAATGCTCGCCTTCTGAAACCTGAGGAGCGTGATTTCGCCGTCTGGAGACTCGAATGTGAAGCCGGAGCAGGAGAGGCTCATGAGGAGACTACTGCCATGGGCGGCTTCAAGCTCGCTCTCCTGGATCCAAAGGTTTGGGCTCTTGTCTGGTGCATGCACATGTCCCAGGCTATGGGCTCGACTGTCAACTTCTTCCCTTCCATTGTCCAGACCTTGGGCTACGACAAGACCAACACGATGCTCCTCACTGCGCCTCCCTTCATCCTGGCTGCCATCGTCTTCTATATCATTTCATACATTAGTGATGTACGTTTCAACTTCATGATATTCCATTGGCGGGATCCTCTTACTAACAGTTTCTTTGTAGCGCAAAGATGCGATGTATGTCATCATCATCTCATGTCTTGGAGTTGGCTGCGTGGCCTATGTCATTCCCTTGGCAACCGTCCAGACTGCTGCTCGATACGTGTCCATGATGCTCATGCCAGCCGCTGCAGGTAAGTCTTCCGCTCCCAATATATGAGTTATCATTTACTAATTGATGTCGCTTTTAGCTGGCCCGCAAATCATGCTGTACAAGACACTGAATCTCCACATGGCACGTCCATTCAGTAAGAGATCCGTTGGTACCGCCATGATCAACTCCATCGGAGGTCTTTCCAACATCTGGGCCAGTTATCTCTACTTTGGTCCTCCCCAGTATACTGCGGCTTTCGCTTGCGGTGAGTATTCGTATTCTCTCTCCATACTATTTGGCTAGGAGATGGGACTGACTTTTATTTTTGTTTAGTTCTCGGCTGTGCCGTCTCTTTCTTCCTTACCATCACCACCTACAGATGGCATGTGAGGAGGCTCAACCGCCTTCTTGGAGGCACTGAAGAGGAACAACGCCGTGTCATGAAGAAGGGCGTGACCCAGCAGCAAGTCGACCTTGGATGGCGATACATTGGCTACTAAACTGGACGAATGGAAAGATCATACACATTATATACTTTATCTAAACCCTAGAAGTGTTATATTCTTCGATAGGTTATAAATTATATGCTTGTCCCTCCCAAATTGGGAGGAACAGAAACAAATACCTGTTTTCTTACTAAACCCATCGGCGGTGGTGACTATCCGAGGATTGTGAGAGGTAAAAAGGATCAGTCAGACGATTCCCCCCCTGCACTCAGTTGCCCTGAACCCCTTGTGAGTCTTCAAATGTAAGCAATACCGGAATCAAGGGTCCACTAGAGTCCACCATTCAACGGAGTTAATGGAGTGAATGGAGAGGCAAATGCCGCAAAAAGCCACGCATACGGCATCCTCGCGCAATCAATCCTCCGCCGTTGACATCTTTCTGCATCACTGCCTCATAAGATGCCGCTTCAACTCCGCACAGCCACCAAGGACGATGTCCCCGCCTTGGGCAGGGTCGCCTCCAAGGCATTCCATCCGTCAATAGACCCCATCGCCAGCCGACTCTTCCCGCCACATCTCCGGTCACCAAAACAGCAGGATATTGACGGGATACTCGCATACCGGAAGGCGCGCAAAGCAATCGTCGTGGACGACACTGAAAACTTGGCGGTCAAGGTCGTTGTGGATGACGAGCTTGATGGGCAGATTGTCGGGGTCGCTGTTTGGGAGCTTCCCAAAGACGAGGCGCCAGGCTCTGCAGAGGTCGGGAAGAGCAAACCACAGGCGGCGGCGCCGACACCCCCTCCAGAAATGGATCAAGACGCCGTCGGTGTGGTGAAGTCGGTCCTTTTCAACGATGCTGTTGAGGCATTGGGGAAAGATGGAGTCGCCCATGTGTACCGTAAGTGTTAGATGAAAATTCGTGCAGGTTTCCTTGATAAGATTTTCTAATCTGATCAAGACCTACAACTCATTGCCGTCGACCCAGCGCAGCAGAAACGAGGAATCGGGAGACTATTAGTGAACTGGGGCGTTCAGCAGGCCGATGAAAGGGCCAAAAAGTGCTACTTGTTTGCATCAGAGGCAGGGAGACGCCTGTACCAGTCGGCGGGCTTTGAAATCGTGAAAGAGGTTCCCGTCTTTGGGTTCCCGCACTACTCCATGATTCGACGGCCCGCAGAGACTTCTTCTTGAGTAGGAAGGGGAGAAAGAAAGAGGTCGAGTGCTGAGAAGCCGTCAGCAACACTTGTCCTCGAGGATTCAAAGACCTTTTCAGTAATGCGGATATTCACACCGGACCAGGCTACGTTAGCCAGATTTCCTGATATTCATGGTACATTGTGTTGAGTATGTACATGTACCTACGGAAAACAAAAAAGTCATTGGCACACGGAAAGCCAATCTTCATGAGTCAATGAATGTGGATGAGAGAGTCAGGTATAAAGTTAAAAAACTGCAATTAAAGATGCTAGATCCGGCATCTTAACTCAATCAATCCTTGTTTCCTCTCTTGCATATAGGGTAGGGTATCATATTTCATACAAATGAGAGTGAGTCAATCAAGCAAAAGACTTAGCTAGCCCTAGAAATATCAACGACAAGCTGGCGGCTGAAAAGAACTGTAAACCATAATTGATATGGCGGCCTTTCGCCAATATTCATCATCATCAGCAAGTACTGGGTTTCGGCTACTTCTGAATGCTCAAACAAGAATTGCCAAATAGCAAAGTGAGCCTGGGTTGAGGGGGCTAAGCTCGTTTCTGTCCAGAGTGAATGCGTTGTTCTAGTGACTGAGCACAAGCCAACCCGGGGAGAAGGCCGAAAAGGTTGCATTCATTTGTCAGCTATATTAACAACTTCCTAGGGATCCAATGCACAGGCAAACATTCACATTGAGCTATGAGCAGCCACTTAAGTAAATTTAGATCGTAAACAACATAGCCAAGATAGCAAGTAATATCCTGTATTGAGATGGCACATGAGGGAAAATTTTCCTCCCGCTTCCTCAGAGAAAACATATTGTGGGGGCAGGGCGAGTTTCTTCCCCCCTTTCCCCCAAAATCGAACTGAGGCTGCCTCGGCCAAGATTATGTGTGGACCCCCTCGGCCTTCTTCCTCTTTGAGAAACGGGGTATTCTCTCCATGTCTGGTTCAGCCAGTCAGCATCCAATCTACATTCACAAAGTCCACCGGATAGCTTTCCGCGGCAAAGTCACCGCCGTTGAGAGCAGGCATAACGAAACAAGGAACCCGGAGTAGTTGTGTTGGAGAGAATATACGAGGGTCATGCCCAGGATTACCCCACGCTGTATGCCTTGAGGCACACGTCAACCAAAATGTGCAGCTCTGTCTTCCTAACAGATGGAGAGGGAAATTTTGTTCATCACACCATCTAGAAAATTAGCTGCCGCAAGATACCAGAGCTTGTGGCATTTACCATCATGCTAGTGACTACCCAGGCCAGCGGAGGATTGTCCGGTCGAGGTCAATCCAGTGTAAACGTTACTGAACCTTGATCATAAAACTGAGTCAGTCTCTCTGCGGAGAAGCCCATGGCAGTGCCACCCAAGATACATACATCGCACGATGGCGCATAAGCCGGCGAAACCTCCGGGCCCACCACCAGAAACCGGCCTTTCCTGCGAGCCCCCGTTGCAAGCCCCAACTTTCTCTGTTTCTAGCTGAAGATTGGCTGCTACGCGCGGGGAAACTAGCACTTCCCCATGGTTTCATGTGGGGAAGCCAGCTGTTGTTCTAGCCCCAAAGTCGCCAGAATGACACACCGAGACGGGATATTGCCGCTAAGATCGGCATGAAGTTGGAGAGTCTGCGCGCTCAGAGACTTCTCTGAGATAACATTGGCCAATTACTTGCTTCTTCCCTCGAACTGACTATATAACCCCAGTCCTTCCTTTCCCATCCCCGTGAACCGACCTTTCTGTCTCTCAGCCAGCCTCTACATCTCATCCGAGGGTCTTCCTTATCTTAAGACAATCCATTTGAGGCCCAAAACAACCTTACCACCTCTTTTTGGAATCCTGAAGCGATCCAGATCGTTACCATGGATATCAAGAAGACGAGCGTCGAGCTCCAAGAGGATGTGCAAGAAGCTACCACTCAAACTGCCACAAACCCTTGGAACGAGCGTTTCAACGGTGAGACCGAAGAATGGCGGGCGGCGATGAACAAGAAAGTCCTGCGAAAGGTCGACACGCGCCTCATGCCAACCCTCGTTGTCATGTATCTGCTCAACTTCCTCGATCGCTCCAACCTAGCCCAGGCGCGTCAAGGGTCCCTCGAAAAGGACCTGGGTATGACCGGTACCGACTTCAACCTTGCCACCTCCATCTTCTTCGTCGGATATCTCCTCATGCAGCTTCCCTCCAACGTTCTGTTGACCCGTCTGCCCCCCTCCATCTATCTCGCCACATCGTGCTGCCTTTGGGGCGTCGTCTCGACCTGCAACGCGGCGGCTCACAGCTTCACCCACCTAATTGTCATCCGCTTCTTCCTCGGTTTCGTCGAGGCTCCCTTCTTCCCAGGAGCTGTATTCCTCATGAGCTCCTGGTACACTCGCGCCGAGTTGACGCAGCGTGTTTCTTGGCTGTATGCTGGCAACGCGCTGGCCAACATGTTTGGTGGTGTCATCGGAGCCGCTATCTTGGGTAACCTCGACGGTGCTCACGGGCTTGCTTCATGGAGATGGCTCTTTATTATCGTAAGTAGAAAAATGAGCCTTACCATTGCCCGCGTTCCTTGTCTCTAGTCGTTCTTACTAACGAGGCATCATTCAATAGGAAGGCGTTGTCGCGATTGCTTTCGCCATTTGTGCTGGCTTCATCCTCCCGAACTATCCCCATTCCACCAAGTGGCTCTCTGAAGAAGAGAGGGCCTACGCCTGCTACAGGTTGGTTCAAGACGTCAACGAGGAAGACACATACGGCGGGGAGCAGACAATCTGGGATGGTATCAAGTTGGCTATTCGGGACTATCGTCTCTATATCTTCGTCCTCCTCCAGCACATCAGCTTGGTCTCGCAAACCTTCCAATATTTCTTCCCTACAATTGTTGGCACGCTAGGCTACGACAAGATCACCACCTTGTGGCTCACAGCCCCGGTCTGGGTAAGTCCATCTTGTCTGAATGCTCCTTTGTTGCTGAACACGATGCTAACCATACTGCCACCTCCATAGTTTGCCACCTTCCTTGTCTCCATTGTCGTTACATGGACATCCTCGAAAACAAACGATCGATCTTTGCATATCATTGGTTTGATGATTGTGTCCGCCATTGGAAATGCCATCGCTACAGGCACTACTGTTCTGGGAGCTCGGTACTTTGCCATGTTTTTGATGCCAATGGGCGCAATCTCGGCTTGTGAGTATAGTGGGAAATTCCCTTCGAGCTAAGAATATGTGCTGACTGGGTTTTATCAGATCAAATTATCGTTTCATGGGTCGCCAATTCTTTCCCTCGACCAGTAGTTAAGAGGTATGCAACATCCTAGGAGGGTCAAAGTCTCTAGCTAACTAAACCTGGACAGATCTGCTTGTATCGCTGTCGCCAATATGATTGGAAACACGGCCTCTATTTACGGAAGTTATATGTATCCCAGCAGCTCTGGTCCTCGGGTAAGTCGATGCTTGTCCATTAATTAGCAGGAGAAAGGCTAACCAGTAGTAGTATATTCCTGGAGGAAGCGCAAACGCTTGCATGTGTATCTTGACTGCCATTCTAGCACTCGTCCTGCGATTCGTCCATATTCGCGAGAACAAGAAACTCGAAAGCGCTGAGCAGGAAGTCGAGGGGGGCAAGGTGGCTGCTGATGCGACTCAGGAGAGGAGGGCTGTTGGATTCAGATACATCTACTAGACCTTGTAGACCTTTAATGGTGTGGGCTTCGGGGTTTTTCCCTCTCAAGTCACGATATGATGAATATGTAAACAGCGTCTCTTTGTCCAACACAAGTCTTAAATGATATAATTCACGTTGGAAAGTCCACGGCTCGCGTCTATGCTTGAAATATCAGAATGGACTAACTACTCCAACATGGTTCGCGGGTTTAACCATGCGCTGGAGTCATACAGTCTCGGCGTCTTGTTGCTGGAAACCGCATACTGGAGACTTTTGGGAAGAACAATTCGAAACTTAAAGTTCATAGAGCCTTCTGTTATACGAGACTAGTTTGTTAAGTCAGCTACGACTGTGTTGCCAACCATGAAGGGCTAAATAAGCCAAGCAAGTTCAAAGCCAGGAATACCTCTATAATTCTCAATTCAATTACTTTTTAGATATAATACCCTATGTTTGAGACGAGTTGTCCAGATTGTGGCGCGCATCTACCAAAAGAAGCAGGCTTTTCTGGATCAAGGGTTCCTGGTAGGTCTGAGTGCTGAATACCTCCTCCACCATGTCCAGCAACCTGTCTATATTACCCAGAATCCTCAGATACGGCTCCAGGGATGGCCGCGTTCGCACCTGCAGCAGGATCAAGTACGATGCAAACAAGAGCTGGTACTCGGGCCAATACTGCAGTGTGTCGTAGGGATTTTCCGTGCCTCGTCGTTGACAAAGCTGGATAATCAAGACAGCACTTTCGATACAATCGCGGCAAGACTCCCACACCCACGGACTATGATCAGACGCTGCGCCTTCAGCAGGGGGTGGCTGGATGGCATCTTCCATGTCTTTATGGAGAAAGAAGTACAAAACGGGCCTGTGCAGGAAGAAAACGCAGGCAAAGTAGCGAATTGCTAGATCTCTGTGAGCCTATAGGACTGTCAGTAAGTTCGGGAGAATCTAAAATATGTAATGAGCCAAACTACAAACATTGTCTAATTGAAAGGAAGCACCGTGAAGAGTGAAAGTCATTATGTCACGAGGGAACTGCCTCTCCATTGGTAGGGACTGATACCACAGCCTGAGATCTTCTGCAAGGCCAAAGACCAAGTCCTTCAGTTGATGAGGTCGTGCGTAGGCTTGAACAGGGGTGTAGAGGGAGAGGATTTTATTCAAATGGCTTCGTAACCAAAAAATACCGTCGGAATTGCTTTCAATTTCGGTGTTCACAGTCGCTTGTGATGGTGAGGTTGCTAGGGGCCGCATGGCTTCTGTAGGGTTCGATGAGAGTATCGCCGCCAGGTTGGATGAGCGGTCAGAGAGGATGGTATCTGATGAAAACTCATCTACCTCGGTAAGGATATCGCTTAGCGAGCAAACATAGTTAGAGTTCACGTCTTAGGGTGATATATTCAAGGCATGCCATACCTCTCAAGAATATAGTAGACTCTTGCAAGAGCGGCCAGTTGCCTATCAATGTGAGTGATAGGCTAGTCGCTGGGAGAGTCCGGTTAGATCCTACCGGTCATTCTTGGCTCTCATAGCCATACGTTCTAGTGAAGGCATCGCTGACTGTAAGGCACCAAGCGCATGGAGAGGCCGGGCCCAGGTATTGACCAAACAGTATGCGATTGCCGCAGATATTGCAATACGTTCATGGGCAGTGTTCCACAGCATCCACTGTCTATCAAGGACCGACTTGAAATAAATTGACGCCGTAGTCTGCTGATTGGGCAAATCTTGAAGTGGCAGACATGAGACAGCTAAATGGATTAAAATTGCGTGTTGGACGGAAATATTAGTTGAATCTATGGTCGACAAGCGACTCGTAGAGTCGAGAAGCTGTCTAAGAGTTCCTTGACCAAACCCATTGCAAGCATCTAGCAGGAGGCGAAGTGTTGATGGGAGACTGTCGCGGATGGCATCAAACGAATCTAGAACCTGGATGGTTTGCCAGTTTTTAAGTAGATGCGATGATAACGAGGGCCTCGATGTCCCAAGATTGGCCTCTTGAGCGAGTTGACCAAACAGAGGCTCCCGACGATCGGCATCAGCGAGAAACTTCAACGGATCGCCGTGGGGTGAGAGACATAAACGCAACCGGGGCCACGAGTGAACCATCTGGTGGGCAGATGCTGTGTGAAAAGAAGGTGCCAATGATATTTCAGATTCGACAGACTCAGCCGCGAGGAGGCGGCCATGCTGGCAATGGGCCTCAAGAGCTTGGATACGAGCTTCGGCATCTGCAAGGCGAGATAACGTGGATTTGTCACTTCAAGATAGTCAGCTACAAACGTGAAGATATGATTATACGGTATGGGGGACTTAAGTTTCAAGATGAGGTGTCGGGCGGTATTGACAGATGACACCAGCATTCGCACAGTGGGTGCACTGGGGTCGGATTCCGTCACACCGGGATTTTCGCTGACGGCATCGATCGCATGCAAGAGCGGTCTTAGCCTGGGTCTTTTTAGTAGAGGCCATGAATACGCATGACGTTGCTAAGGCTGCTATGTCAGGTCGTTGTTGTTGGCTTTGGCTTTGTGACTATGGATATTGATGATTGGGGTCCAGAGAGGGAGGCTTCAGCTGTAAAATGATTACGAATACGAATCCACAGGCAACCATTCCGCTTTGAAGCTAGCTGAATACCTCTGATAATCCACTCATCCAAGTCGGCGTCAGAATAACAGAGACTACATACCAAAGTGTATTAACCTAAGTAACTTCCCAATATAGGCCATGACATTGATAGATGATACTTGGTAGCAATCATAATAATAATAATAAAATATTGGGCGGTTGTTAGCAAATGTATAGACTTAATATTTACAATAGGGACCATTATTTCGTGACTAATAATTCCAGTCTGCGAGGTGAGGTGACTTTGCAGTCCCTATTCCTCTGACTGTCACCTTTAGATTACTATTGAAACCCTTGGCAAAGGAATTTGGCATGGTTTGTAGTGTTTTAAACCCTTCAGGCCCCAGAGATCACATTTTGTCGCGTTAAATTAACAAGAATATCCAACGGGATGTCTATCAGGGTCAAAACTTAGCCGCACGATTTCGAGCTGTCAGCTTGGGCAGTATAATATAAAAATACAAGGTAATCGTCCTTCCACTTCTCATTTGTCAAGCTCCAAATATCGATACATACAAGACTTCTCTACATGTAGCTCAAAGGCTTCAACCTACTGCCACCTAGTACAGAAGGTTTCGCCCAACTTCCTAAGAATTACAGCCACGGTTGAATCAGGCTCTTTCAGTCTCCACTACATCTACCTCGTGAGACATCGCCTGATGGGACAACTTCTCCTTCGATTCAATTTGGACCTCCCTAGCCGTCATATCCTGGAATTCGTGTTTCTTCCATTCTTTAGCGGGAACTCTATCGGTGAAGAACCTATCGAGTTCAAGCAGTGACCGCCCGGTCGTGTCTCCCACACACCGCCAGGAGTAGAGAATGGTAATGCACGCGAGACCAGCATAGACGAAACCAACCATAGGGCCCAGCTTAGCGTCATAGTAAAGGTACGGGCTGGTGAAAGCAATCACCCATACAGTGAAGAAGAAGGAGCCGATAGCGCAGGACATGATCTTGTTGCGGTTCCTGCCCACAGCACACTCGGACGCAATTGTAAAGGCCAGTGGGCCCATCGAGAAGTTGAAGCAGACAATGACGATGTAGGAGAAGACGACGATAGCTGAGCTAACCCCTGTTGTGAAGGCACCGTCGCGTCGCGTAGTTCCCAATCCACCAACGACCACGAGAGCTGCAAACAGACCGCAACTGCACACGATCATGTTGATGCGTCGAGAGATCTTGTTGGCGACGAGGACGGAGACGGCTACGGCGATGACTTGTAGCAGGTTCGTGATCAAGGAAATGGTAAAGGCTTCTTTGATACCAATTGACTGGGCAAAGATCACGCCGTATGAGTAGAAGAATTGGATGCCATTAATTTGCTGAGCGATCATAGAACCAGAGGAGTAAATCAGTTTGCGGCGCTCAATAGGGTCCGTGAAAAGCTCAGACCAGCTGGAGCTTGACTCATCTTCTTGCTGGCGCTTGCAGGCATCGTGGAGGAGGGCAAGGTCTTCATTTGGGCTGTAATCCTTCTTGCTCCTATTGATCTTGCACAGAGCAGTCTCTGCATCAGTAAACCGACCTCTGGAGGCGAACCACATTGGACTTTCCGGAGTGAACGGCAGTAGAAGGATCATGATGCCCGGAAGCGCAATCAAAAGACCCATTGGGATCAAATATGAGTTTTTTCCATCGATCGTAGCTGTGCCTTGGGTGATGCCAGATCCAACAAGTTGCGAGCAAGACTGCATGAACTGGAACATCATCAACGCGGGACCGCGGACGGCTTGAGGTGCTACTTCGCCAATGTAAAGAAGACAAGTGACGGTAAACTGGCCAATACCAAGTCCGATGAGGATTCGACCCAGTACAATGACTCCTTCTTGTCCGGACGCGAGGAGCTGAGCAATCGCCCCGGCAATGATGCAGACTGACGCGCAGTAAAAGACAGCCTTACGGCCATATCGTTGGTTGATCGGTGCAGCGCCGAGAGCACCAATGAGTTCTCCGACATAGATGATGGATGAAGTCAAGGACGTGAAGGAAGTGGGGAGCGCTTTGGTGCCGTCTGCGTTGGAGGAGCCGTATCGGTCAATGAAGGGGTCCATGCCCAACAGGCCAGTGTAGTAAATCTGATCATAGCCGTAGCATAGAGCACCGAAAGATGACACTCCACAGTAGAAGAGAGACCACGCATGGGAGCGGAAGTCGATGTTGAAGAGTCCCATGGCTCTTGACTTGAGTTGCAGAAGAGAATGATCCAAAGAGTAGGTAGAGAAGGCTGATGTGTGGTTTCATTCAACCTGAGACATGATCGAAAGGGGACATGGGAATTTATAGACAAAAAGCCAGGATTAAGAATATGTGCAAACCTGGTGGCTGCCAGTCACTTGGTCCCATAAACAAGTCCGGGGAAGCCAGCCAGTCTTTCTCACGTGAGTCAGTATATCCGGGGTCTAGATCGTTGGGAGCTGGAGAAGCAGAGGCCATGGGCTGACACACGGCTCTAGACCCCTCGTTGGCCAGGTTTCCCGTGTATTCCGCCCTCATTCCTGGGAAGAGTGAACTTCGTTCTCGTAAAGCGGACCTAAAGGATGGGGCTAGTCGGGGCATGCTCCGACGGAGGCTCCCCGAAAACTACTTGGGGCCCCATGTTGATGTGGAGAGGACCATCCTCAGCTTCACGAACTGACTAGTTCCTGGCACGCGAGACTTTTATTATCATTTTTTCTCCTGATTGCTATCCTTGACTTCAGTGAGCAAATGCAAGAGTCAAACGACGATTTGGAAACCCACCGAGCCATTGATTCTCCTCACATTGAGTATTCTAGTCCAAAATGTCTTCGCGTCTTGACGAGCTTCGTGCCACCGGCACCGTTGTTATTGCTGATACTGCTGATTTCCAGAGTGAGCCTTTTACATATTTCTAATATTGTGCTTCTTGTTAATGCTTGACCACAGAAATCGCCGCATTCAAGCCCTCTGAAGGCACTACCAACCCTTCTCTGATCTTCGCCGCTGCCCAAAATGCGTCCTACGAGCCTCTTCTAGCCAAAACGATTTCTCATGTGCGATCCCTCCCTGAGAAAACAAACCGCGATGAAAGACTTTCCCGTGCCGTTGAGATGCTATCTGTCCAGTTTGGAAGAGAAATATACAAACTCACAGGGCGCATCAGCACCGAAGTCGATGTCAGCTTATCATTTGACACTGCTGCAACGGTCGCTGCGGCACTGCGTATCCTCGAACTATATGCGGCCGAGGGTATCCCAAAAGATAAGGTACGCATCAAGATCAGCGCTACATGGGAGGGTATTCAAGCAGCGCGAATCCTCCAAAAGGAACATGGCGCAAGCTGTCTCATAACCATTGTGTTTGGATCTGTTCAAGCCATTGCAGCTGCGGAGGCTGGGGCTGATGCAATCGCACCATACGTTGGTAGAATCGCCGACTATGGAAAGCAGCACGGCTATCAGGGCGATTTGGGTATTGAGACAGTCTCGGCCATACAGAACTACCTTCGTAAATACAACCACTCAACACAGGTCATGGCAGCAAGCTTCCGAAACGTTGAGCAAATAAGGGCTCTTGCAGGCATTGATCTACTCACTGCAGCACCCTCGATTCTCGAGCTCGTCGAAGCCGATAGTAGGCCTGTGGTGCCTGTCTTAACGAGAGAAAGCGGTACGTGATGCTTCCTTCATAATACGTGCTATTTCAAGCTAACACTTTTTTGCTTCCCACAGCACAAGCTGCCGAGCTACCGCAAGTTTCATACATCAATGACGAGTCAAAATTCCGATGGGCATTTAACGCGGATGCCTTGGCTGTAGAGAAATCAGCCGAGGCGATGCGGAAGTTCGGAGACGATACAGAAAAGCTCAAATCCTTGCTGTCAAAGCTGTTAGATGTGTAGATAAAAGTCCTCCAATTGCTCTAATGAATAAAATCATTGCTAGAGTTATAATCAAGTAAAA